TCGGGCGTGGAGCATGCGGCGGCAAGGCACAGCAGAGCGGGGCAGCAGGCGGCGGCAACCGCATGCCCGGCACGCCTCCTCCACACAAGAACGCCTCGCACCGCAGCCCATCAACCACCACCGTCGTGAGCATCGTGTCCCACACCCCCCACACCACCTCACACCACCACCCACGCCCACACCACCCACCACGTGTGCCCACCCACCCACGCGCGCCCACCAGCCCTCCCACCCACCCGCGCAATCTCCTTGAGGCTGGACAGCTCCGGCTCCGGCAGCTCCACCGCGCCGCTGCTGCCGGGGTCCACTGGCCCCATGCCCGGCCCCATCTCTGCGCGCAGACCAGTGACGCGCGGGGAGGGGGGGCAGGTGGCGGCGTGGGAGTGAGGGCCCGCCCCCATGTCTGCAGGCACAGGCGGCGGCGGGTGGAGGGGCGGGGCGGGCCGGCAGGCAGCGGGCAGGCGGCGGGGGCGGCACGCCGCGCCCGCGCCCGCTGCGCCCGTGCCCGCGACGCCCCCCTGCAGAACGCCCAGCGCTCCCCCCGCCCCCGGGGCTGGCACGCCCGACGCGCTGACCAGCGCCGCAGGCGGTACACACACACGCACCGTCGTACCGCCCCTGGCCCCCCACATCAAAGTCGTCTGGCTGCCCGCCGCCTCCCAGCGCCCGTGGGCCGTAAGGCGATCCTGCAGCCGGGGCGGGCAGCGCACGGGCCAGGGAGGGGAAGGTCCGTAAAGGGGAGCCAGCAGGGTGGGGAGCCAGGCATCACCGCTGCGAGCAGCGACGGCACCGCACAGCGCCAGAGGCAGGCTTGCAGCGGTTGCGGCGGGCGGCGGCGTGGCGGGCGGCGGCGCCTGCCGTGGCTGGTGTCGCACCTGGGCTGCCACCGCGGGGGCTGCTGCTCTCCTGCACGTGCAGCACCTGCTCCCAAATGTAGTTGCAGCCTCGGGCCTCCTGCGGGCACGCAGAGCAGCAGGCAGGCAGGGTGGCAGGTCGAGGCCGCCGCGCTAGCCGCATTCCCTTCATCCCATCTCCTGCAGCCTGCCAGCTGCCAGCCGTGCTGCCGATGCTGGCGCCGGCCGGCGGGCCGGCCGAGACGGTCGACCCTGGGTGGCCCGCCGCTCGCTGCGCGCCCAGCCCGCCAGCTGCACCTGGAAGGAAAGCGCGATGTCTGTGCCGATCTCCGGGTCGGTCCATGTGATGATTGTGTCATCTGCGGCACAGCCAGGCACGCAGGCAGGCAGGCACAAGCAGGCAGGGTGGGGCGCGATCAGCGACGCCGCCCGCGCCGGCATCCCCAGGGAAGCACCGATGGTGCAGATCCGCCCCAGGAGCTGCCGCTGCCCAGCGCATCGCCCGGCTGCTGCTGCTCGTCTCCGCTGCTGGCCGCGGCTGCTGCCAGCCCCTCTGCCGCCAGCCCCGTCTGCCGGGCTCACCCCCCTGCCGCTGGTACTGGTTCTCTTTGGAGATGCGGTGGATGAGCAGCGGGCGCGCCCCTTCTCCCTCCCCCATCACCACCAGGCCCACGCTGCTGTTGCCCTGCAGGGCAGGCACGGGCGGGGCAGCAGGCGCGGCGCGTGCAAGGTTGGGCGGGAGGGTCGGCGGCTGGCGGCGGGAGCGGCGGCGGGCTGCACGGGCAGCCGCCAGCAAGCCAGGGCCGTCCCGCGGCGCGTGGCTGGCGCGGGCGAGGCGCCATCGCCTGTTCCCACCCCGGACGGGCAGCAGGGTGCTCCTGCAACGCACCTCCATGAGCTCCACGCTAACATGGCCCGTCCCCTTGTCATCCCACAGCCCCTCCTCGTTCAGGCGATACACCTTGACGCGCTGTATCCCCGGCTCGCCCATCCTGGCACCAGCCGGGGCGGTGATCGAGGCCGAGGCAGGGCAGCAGCGCCTCTAGACAAGCCCTGCAGCCGCCATCTAATGAACAACGGCCGCCAGCCGGCACCCAGGCAGCGGGGAGTTGAGAAGAAATGGGCGGCAAACCGACGCAGTGGCTGTGCAGGGTTGTGGCTCGGGCTAGGCAATGTGTGCAAAAGCTCGGGATGCGGACGGGGAGCTCCCAGCCCGTGGAGCTGACCTGCCGCCAGATGGGCGGGCTGCCGCTGCCGTGGGAACGGCAGGGAGGGAGGGCAATGCCGGTACAGACGTGCCATGGAAGAAGCGCTGTGTCGGGCCTGCCTGAATGAGCATGCCGCTCGTGCCACGCTCATAGCATTCAACGGTACCCGCACAACCGCTGCCGCCTCCTCCCACGGCACCGCCGCCGCTGCCTGCCCAATGCGCAGCCTTGCCAAATATAATGTCGATGGGTAACTCTGTAGCAGCAATTCACCAAGGATCACTGTATCTGTCGCAGCGCCCTGATGCCTGCTGCCGACGGGTGCGGGGCTGTGGGGGCGCCGAGCGGCGCCGAGCGGCGCAGCGATGCGCGCCTGGGGGCCGTGTGGGTGTGTGCGTGTGGGTGTGTGCGCGATCCAATCAAGTTCCGTGTGGCCTTTACTCGACGCCCCCGCCAGCAAGTACGTTGCTATAGCTGAAATAATTTGGAGGCCAGCGGGGGAGAGGAAGTGGGAGCTGCTGGGAAGTGGCGGCGGCCACCCCCTCGGCCACAAGCTGAGCCGCCACTTGCATACGCCGCGTGGTGTCCCTTGCGCACATTTTACTCTTATTCTGGCCTCCTTCATCGTTGAAGCGCTACCCGCACGACCTGCAAGCAACCCGACACCTTCCATGGCCCGCCCCCTGGCTTTCGCTGCTGCAGCAGCGCTCCTGCTGCTGCTTGTTGAAGGTCAGGCGATGTGATCGCGGCCTGCAGCCAAACGCCGGAGCTCCTGTTCACATGCCGTTGGCCTCGCTGCCCGCCGCCGCCCGCCTTGCGGCTGGCGCCGCGACTGACTCACCCTCGCCGCCTCGTTGCTGCAGGGGCCTCGGCCTACTGCACCGCCGGCCAGCGCGGCTGCACCAAGTGCCAGAACAACAGGTGAGAGGGCCCCCGCAGTGCCAGGCTGCATGGCTACCCCTGGCACCAGTGCCATCATGCCGCCGCTGTCGAGGTCAGGCTGCCCCACTGAGTGCATGGCTGCCCCGCATGCCCCGCAGGTGCGTGGAGTGCCAGCCCATCGGCTGGGACCTGCACCCCGCCCGCCACATCTGCGTCAAGTGCTGGCGCACCAACTGCGCCGCCTGCGACGCCCGCCGCCCCGCCCAGTGCCTGCGCTGCCGCGACGGCTACTACCGCTCCTCGGCCGGGCTGTGCAAGAAGGTGAGGCGAGACAGAACGCGGCAGCGGCGGCGGTGGCTGCATTGCATCCAGCCGCACCGTAGGTACTGTTCCATCCCACTGAGGTGCCTGCCCAGTTGCCCTGCTTCTGTCCCGACATGCTCCGTCCCTCTGCCGCCTGCGCCGCAGTGCAAGGCCCGCTGCACCTCCTGCCTCAACCGCAGCGGCTGGTGCGTGGACTGCATGGAGCCCTACTACCCTCACCAGGGGCGGTGCGTGCTGGAAGTGGAGGACCCGCTGCCCAGGGACCCCAAGCTGGATCAGGAGCCGTACTGAGAGAGGCTGGGCTGGCTCCCAAAGCAGAGCGCCAGCCTTCGTTGCTGCATACGTGGCCTGCTGCATTGCGTTGCATGCATGGAGTCGACATAAATGCAACACCAAAGAGCAGAAGCAGCAGCAAGCACCAGGATTTTGCTGCCGTGGGTTGCCGGGTGCCGCAGGCTGGGGTGGTGGGTGCCGCACGCGCGGCGCCTGCCCCGCGGGGCACCTGCCCGGACCACCCCTCACTTCTCCTTGACCAGCACATACTCGCGGCTGCTGTTCCCAAACTTGAGCATGTCCTGCGGCACGACGCAGGGGCGGCTTCAGCAGCGGCGGCGGCGGCGGCAGCAGCGCATGGCACGCTGCCGCCTCCGCATCCCACTCCCTGATCACACACACGCACGCACGCACGCACGCGCGCACGCACGCGCGCGCACGCGCACACGCGCACGCGCGCACGCGCGCGCGCGCACACACGCACACGCGCGCACACGCACACGCGCGCACGCACGCACGCGCACGCACACGCACGCACGCACACGCGCACGCACACACGCACGCACACACGCACACACGCACGCACACACGCACGGGGGATC